GGGGAAGGGAAGGGGAAGGGGACGGGAAGGGGAAGGGGAAGGGAAGGGAAGGGAAGGGAAAGGATTTATGCACACAGTAGGCCCAATAAATAATAATTGAGCTCACCTGAAACCCTTGGGCCAGGTGCATTTCAGAACTCAGGACGTTCGGATTTTAGGATGCTGGTAAGATGCACTCAACACAGATTATTTAACACTCCCTGCAGGCCCGGGGTAACCCATCCCCATCCCATCAAACACTGTCAAGCATTAGAATATTCCTAGTTAATAGCATAAATAAAAGGTATTAACAACCAAATGGGTCAGGCGCGGTGGCTCAGGCCTGTAATCCCAGCGCTTTTGGAGGCTGAGGAGGGCAGATCACTTGAGGTCAGAAGTTTGAAACCAGCCTGGCCAACATGGTGAAACCTGTCTCTATTAAAAATACAAATAATAATAATAATAATTAGCCGGGCGTGGTGATGCACGCCTATAATCCAAGCTGAGGCAGGAGAATCACTTGAACCCAGGAGGTGGAGGCTGCAGTGAGCCGAGACTGCGCCCCTGTACTCCAGCCTGGGCGACAAAACAGGACGCTGTCTCAAAAGTAAATAGCTGGGCATGGTGGCTCACGCCTGTAATCCCAGCACTTTGGGAGGGTGACCCGGGTGGATCACCTGAGATCGGGAGTTCGAGATCAGCCTAGGCAACATGGTGAAACCCTGTCTCCACTAAAAATACAAAAATTAGCTGGCTGTCATGGCGCACACCTGTAATCCCAGCTACTCGGGAGGCTGAGACAGGAGAATCGCTTGAACCTGGGAGGCAGAGGCTGCAGTGAGCTGAGATCGCGCCATTGCACTCCAGCCTGGGCGAGACAGAGTGAGACTTGATCTCAAAAATAAACAAACAAATAAAATAAAAACACAGGTCGTGAGGGAGCTTCCTGGGTGATAAAAAAAAAAATTGTTGTACATCTGGAAGAAGGTGGTGGCTACATATTTGTCAAATCCCATCGAACCGTATCCTTAAATTACACCTCCATAAAGCCAATCCAAAGGGAAAATACACAAATGCCAAAAATCCACGCTCACGAGTGCGCTCCTCCACGGCTAGTGGGAATGCAAAATGGCTCAGCCATGCTGGGAACCGTTTGGCAGTTCCTGAAAAAGTGAAACACACACGTACCATAGGACCCAGGCATCCACTGCCGGGCGTCTCCCCGAGAGACACAGAGGGGCGTGTCTGCCCGAAATGCCCCTCTGCTGGCGGTTCAGTAAACAGACAGCAGGTCACCCAGATGCTGGAATACGACTCAGCATCGGGCTGTGGAGACACGCGCCCGCCGGGATGAATCTCAGATGCATCTATGCTGAGTGGAAGATGCCGGATTCGAAATACCCGTTTTAAGAAAAGGCAGAGGAAACAGTGGTGACTGATGGAGAGCAGGAAGATACACCTGGGAGGAGAGGGGGCACTTAATGACGGGGGTCTCAGGGAGCTAATGGGTGCCAGAATCCTCTTCTCCAGTCCAGGGCTAGGGTGAGGTGGTAGAGGGATTCTCCCAAGGAGCAAATTTTAAGGGAGCACCAAAAATTCCACAACCAACAACAAAAACTCAGCAATTAAGCTAAATAGCATCTGACCTCCTCTCCTCTCTTTTTCTTTTCCAGATGGAGTCTCACTCTGTCACCCAGGCTGGAGTGGGTACAACCTCCACCTCCCAGGTTCAACCGATTGTCCTGCCTCAGCCACCTGAGTAGCTGGGATTACAGGCATGTGCCACCATGCCTGGCTAATTTTTGTATTTTTAGTAGACACAGGGTTTCAGCATGATGGCCAGGCTGGTCTTGAACTCCTGACCTCAGGTGATCCACCTGCCTTGGCCTCCCTAAGTGCTGGGATTACAGGCATGAGCCACTGTACTCAACCTTTCTTTTTCTTTTCTTCTTTCTTTTCTTTCTCTCTCTCTTTCTCCCTCCTTTCCTTTCTTCCTCCTCTCTATTTTTTTTATTTTTGGTTGAGTCTTGCTCTGTGGCCCAGGCTGGTGTGCAATGACATGATCTTGGCTCACTGCAACCTCTGCCATCCGGGCCAGCCTCCCAAGTAGCTGGGATCATTGCATGTGCCACCATGACTGGCTAATCTTTGTATTTTTAATAGAGATGGAGTTTGATCATGTTGGCCAGGCTGGTCTTGAACTCCTGACCTCCAGTGATCCACTGGCCTCGCTTCTTTTTTTTTTTTTTTAAACAGATTGAGTCTTGCTCTGTTGCCCAGGCTGGAGTGCAGTGGTGCAACCACGCTCACTGCAGCCTCCATTTCCTGGGCTCAAGTGATGCTCCCACGTCAGCTTCCTGATTAGCTGAGATCACAGGCAGGCACCACCATGCCCGGATAATTTATTTCATATTTTGTAGAGATGGGGGTCTTGCTATGTTGCCCAGGTTGGCCTCAAATTTGTGGGCTCAAGCAGTCCTCCTGCCTTGATCTCCCACAGGGATTTGATTATAGGTATGAGCCACCATGCACGGCTGACTGCAATCTTTTTATAAAAATCAAAATTAAGGCCGGGCGCGGTGGCTCAAGCCTGTAATCCCAGCACTTTGGGAGGCCGAGGCGGGTGGATCACGAGGTCAAGAGATCGAGACCATCCTGGTCAACATGGTGAAACCCC